GCCTTATCCACCTGGCCATGCCGGGCGCTAGCGCAAGTAAACCTCAGTTAACTTTGCGCGAGAATTCAACAAACAAACAATATTTAATTTCATCTCAATAATTCTTATGCCAGTATTATATAATTGGGATTACAGCGTGAAACTTTGGACTTATGGTAGCTAGCATTGTTAAGAAGATCCTCGTAAGCAATTAAGAGTAATCCTTTAGCTAGGTTGATAAAGCGAGTACGAAATCCCAGGCTCGATCCTATTTGGGGGATGCAAGAATACGAATGCCAAAGACTTTCCACAGCACTATAGTATACTAAGATTGGTGTGTTTATTTTGTTTCGTATGTTTTATTTTGTTTTTGTTGTTTCTTTTATGTTGATTGACTGAAGTGCAATAAATAGGATTAATATTTTAAACGTCTGAGCATGAAAATATAATGCTCACCATGTGGCTTATCACGTGTTTTAAAAATGCTTACGGGATTTCAATTAAACCTGCCAAACAGAGTGCATAATAGGAGCTTTTAAACAAAAAATGGTTCTCATACTTACACTGACCCACACCTTACAGTTCTTAATCAATCTAGAGTATATGACTGGCCTTTTCCTCATTAAAACTGTAGTTTAAGCCATACCATCTACAGTTATGTCATTCAGTGCTACTTGGAATGTATGTTAACAATACATGTTATAACGAAGCAAGCTGAAGACTTACAGACAGTAATGTCATTCAGTGCTACTTGGAATGTATTTTCACAATACAAGTTCTAACGAAGCAAGCTGAATACCTACAGTGGTAGGGTACATATATTTCTCTTTCGTCCTTGCCCCTTTTCAATCAATAAAATGTTATAAAACAAGAATATAAGACAGCGATATTTGACGTGTTGAATCTCATCATATGGTCACTTTGTGCTCTGCCCACCACCGGTATCGAAACCCGGTTTCTAGCGTTGTAAGTCTGCAGACATACCACTGTGCCACTGGGGGCTATTTGTGCTCTGCCCGCCACGGGTATCGAAACCCGGTTTCTAGCGTTGTAAGTTCGCAGACATACCGCTATGCCACTGGGGGGCTATTTGTGCTCTGCCCAGCACGGGTATCGAAACCCGGTTTCTGGCGTTGTAAGTCCGCAGACATACCGTTGTGCTACTTGGTTCGAAGGCAAAATGGAAGATAAGCTCTGATGGAAACTTATTTTAAATTCAAGCCTTAACATTCACTCTGCAAATAAAATTTTAAAACGAAACTAAAAACGTAAAATAAATTTACGATAAAACAATCAATGAAATACAACTAGCATGGAAGGTATTTTTTAACCATTTCATTAATTTATTAACCCTTCTCAAAACTTTGTATGGTTATTAGTTACAAGATAATCTGTTAAGGTGTAACTGGCGTACAACTAAATTACAATTATATAAAATTAAGGTGACTCGGTGTAAACACAAAATAACAATAACTTTAAATAATAGCTGATTCTTAGAACAGGCGATCAAAGTATAAGTTGTGAATATATTTACGGAAGGATACGCTAGCCCTAAATCTCGCGACTAAGGCGCTCGACTCGCAACCTGAAGATCGCGTGTTCAAATCCCTGTCACCGAATATGCTTGTCCTTTCAGCCGAGGGGGTGTTATAATGTGACAGCTAATCCCACTGTTCGTTGATAAAAGAGCGTAAAAGTTGGCATCGAGTGGTGTTGACTACCTACCTTCCCTCTAGTCTGTAACTGCTAAATTAGGGACAGCTAGCGCAGATAGCCCTCGTGTACCTTTGCGCAAAATTCAAAACAAAACAAATCTCAAATCGCAGACATTAATTAATTAACTTCTCGACAAAAGTAAACTAACTATATACAATTGAAAACAAACGATATTTGTTTAATCATTTTAAAACCTATTCAAATAGTCGTCTTAATAAAAAACTTCTCCTTACCATCTACAGGAGGAATTATCAATTATTTCCATACGTGGATTCTTTTTTGGAAAATTTAAGTTTCTGTGGTCGAGCAAATAAATTATCAAAACTCCAGCCGCTTTGATTATGTTAGTCAAAGGATCAAAGTGTAGTTTTATTAAAATCAATTCAAATGAACATATAATAACAGTTACTAAGTTTATTTTAAACAACATTATCCCTGTGTGAGAATAAACATGAGCCACTTCAGGTTCTAGGCTTAACTTTATTTTTTTTTGCTTCCGTAAAATTTTCCTTGCATACTACACGTACTTTAATGATTCAATAACTATGCTTACAATAAGCATACTAATCATAATAACCATCATCCAGTATGTGCGATTACAAACCACTTCACATTAAGCACTGAGATTTCAGTGTATCTCTTTAAAGGTTTCCACCTGATCTCATCGTTTCGATTTGGGTATTTCCACTGGAATGCGGTAAATGCAAAATTATCCTTTTATTTAAAGTACAAAATGTGTGACAACACCTGAAAGGCCACATGATAATATTGACAATTTACAGTCCCTAAATCACGTTGTATTCTAATCTTTCGTTTAAATTACAGTTCTCATGCAGTAAGAACCAGTTTTCTGATATACATTATACTAGATATTTTAAAGTACATATTGTACTCACCACATCCATAGAACATACATTTTCTTCTCTAAGCTAGTACCCGATTTCAGAAAACAAGCCTATCAACGTTTCAAATATACTTGGCTAAAACCACTACATTACATGATTATTAAAGTTGGATTACCTTGGTTTCTATGGTAACTCTAGCCTGAACTTTATCTTCAGATATGGGCTTTAATCTCGAATTTTTAGTGTATCTAACATTACATTTATGCATAAAAAACTGGAATCACTTCCTCGCAATATATATGGAGTATATCAAAAATGAAAAAAAATACCTTTTTTTCTGATTATTATCCAAGCATATTAACTTAGATTCTATCTTATTACAGAAAGGAAACTAGTAGAGTTATGTATTAGAGAATGACTATTCGTATCACCTTCTTGGTGTTGCCAGGATGAAGGTCTGCCAAAAGAGAATATAACAGATAAATTAAATTTGCTCTTGCAATGTCATGTCAAATCCTTCATGTATCGAACCATCTAAAAGACGTAGTGTAATTTTGTTCACAACAGAAAAATGGCAATGCTTCAATTCAGGACGCAGAAAAGCGGTCAAAATGATATTTATTGAGGGTAAATCGGATAGTTTCTGACCCCATTCTGTTACGCGTGCGCTTTAATTTTGATATCTTTGCTTTGGAACATAGAATATAATAAGATGTACTTTAAATTCTGTAACAAGACGTCATGAAAAATCTGTTTAATAAAAATCATATACCTCAACACTGATAACTGCAGAGTTTCATAGACAAATATATATATATATATATATATATACACAAATTGGAATATTTGAAAATAGAGTGGTATATATATTATTGTATTCGAAACTCTCTAACGGACTATCTAATGTGAGTAAACATGTACAAGGTACAAAGACACTGAACAAATTATCATTTATTTACAACCACAACAGATGTCTAACAGTTTATTACACACGCACACAATAATGATGTTCCTTTGCCACAATAATTAATTTTTGTATATAACGTCAAAACAAACACAAAACTGGTGCAATCATGATACAAATTTGAAAAATCTTTCTTAAATTTCAGATGCATAATTCTCTCAATATAAAAAGTTATAACCTTTCAAATGGAATCTTACCTAACAATAAATCTTCTAGCTATAAAACAGACCGTCCTTGAGACGTAAGATGATTCTTCAGTTTTGGAGTTCGAGGCTTCTTAGGTTATCTGCAACGCAAAGAAACGAAGTAGAAGTTAAACTAGAACAGTAGTGCTCTCTAGTGGTAAAGGTGAGAAACGCCTTTGGAGAAAATACTTCGACCCTAAATTTTGTTGATCTATCATTATAAGAAACGATAAAAACACTTAATTTGATAAAACAATTATTTTTGTTTGATGTTAAGCTGTTTGAGCTGTGCCCACCTCAGGTATCGAAACCTGATTTTTAGCGCTATAAGCCCTCAGATTTACAGTTGAACCACCTTGAAGTTTATAAAATGATAGCTATTTTCTTAAATGGATATTATCTGTAGAAGGTATTCTTATAATGTTCTTTTCTTTCATTTAACTGAAGCACTTGTTCAAGCGTTTAAGGCAACACAAATATAAAGCACTCGTTCAAAACATAAAAAGTATTTAGTCCATGTGGTGGTGATACACGTAGAGTAATTAGTGAGACCTCTACTAATGAATGACAATTTTTGTTGTTTCAGGAATATATTTTTATCTTTTACTTTTAACCTGCACCATAAATTATTTGTTTGTTTTTATAAAAACGCTTATTTGTGTTTCGTATGAACAAATTCAATTAAATTTGAAATGTTTGTGATCTTAGAACACACACATATATATGGAATGGTAAAACCAACTGTTTATTTAAATAAAAGTAAATGCCTGAAAGTTATAAAAAAATACCACGATCATCTTCGTCTTTGTAGTTGCCCTTTATAATTCTTCTTCTTTTCAGAGGCTCGTTTACGCACATCCATTCCAATGCTTTTGAAGGAAGTACGCAGGCATGTGTACCTTCGTCGCTATATTATTATTATTGTTGTTAAAAAAGATCAAAACCTTGTAGCGTTAAATTCCTTAGTTGTCTATTTCCGCCTCTACATGACCTAACATAGAGTCGGTAAACTCTACATGTAGGGATGACCAAGGTACTCAATAGGCATAATACAAATATGCACACTAAAAAGTCAACAATGACAGAGAGTTTTACTTTAAAAGATGATTGCCACTCACTTTCATTTGTTTCTCTACCCAACAAGCCCAAAAACAAACCAAGAAACCATCACTAAGATACCAAACCAGAAAGTGACAAACCCAAAAAATTGTCAGTCGCGATAACTCTACAACTACTTTATCACTAACGTCAGTTTAAATATAAATCCCCTTTATCTGTTTCTGGGCAGTGAACGATGTCATCGCTTACTCGAAATGACTAGTAGTAATTTTAAAAAAATCATAATTCTAAGATAAACGATGTTGCCATTACCTCTTTAAGTTAGCTTTCTTACAGAAATCTGTTGTTCCTCTAAAAAGTTTAAGTACAGGGTGAAACAGGAATTACCAGCCAATAATAGATGAACAATAGATAACTGTATCAAGTAAAATATTCAATGTTTGTACACTATACAACTGGTGTTTTTAGGGAGCCAACCTCTATACACGTAGAAAGTAAAGGAGCAAAAAAAATCAATACACATAACATTAAATTGTATTACACACATTTATAAAATACACTGACTTTCAGTCAGGCGGGAAAAACGTTACAAAACAAGTAATGAATAACATTTTGTAAATGTAAAATGATGTAGGGATGGCAGTACCAAAAATAATGCAAACAAGAATATAGGGATGATACAGCTATACATAAATTATTCCTACATGACTTTCAATATTAAAATTTAATGTTACACTGTAAAATGCATACTTGACTTTGATATTACTGCAGTTGGAAGTTAAATATTCCTGTCTGTTAGTATGCTGTTTCTTTATCATAATATCATAGTCATGTCAGGGTAAGTATCAATGTGGTGTAACTAAGAGCCCAGGACTTACGTACAAGGAAAACCAAGTTGAATCAAAACATCTCTTACTTAATAAAGAATCTTGCTACGAGGTCGATCTAATTGACCGACCTCGTAACCATTTTGTACTTGTGCATTTTACAGTGTAACATTAAATTTTAATATTAAAAGTTATGTAGGGATGATCTGTGTATCATCCCTAAATTCTTGTTTGCATTCTTTTTGGCAATGTCATCCCTACATCATTTTACATTTACAATTTTTTTTTATTTCTTGTCAATATATCGAACTTCCTCAGAAAAAAAGGCCCGCTAAAAACCGGGTTTCGATACCGGTAGTGAGAAACGTACAGACAGCTCATTGTCAGTTTTGTGCTTAACAACCAACCACCCAACCTCAGAAAAACTAAGATACTCAATTCGTCTTAAATTCATTTCCTAGTGGGTCAGCGGTAAATCCGGAGTTCGATTTCCCGCAAAAGCAACAACAATTGTCGTAATTTCGAAAGCAAACACTTCTTAGTAAACATTATACTAATGCACTATAGAGGTGGATGAACCTGCCACTTCAAAAAAATAAAGAAAAGAAAAGAAAAAGACTGATGATTGGGTTTAGGTAATCAAAGAGACGGAACTCCTTATATTCTTGTGGGTTGAGAGATCCAATATAAATGATAACAAGAATATTTAAAAAAAAGTCAATTCACCCTTGATTTCTTCCAAGTGTTATGCTTACTTGCGCAATTCACAAAACACGTGAAATATAACATAGAATAAAAATAGATTATGTACTGGCAACATTTTAGTTAACAAATTATTCTACTACTTTTCTTAAAAAATAAATATTTTTGTTCCTCAGGTTATGCCCTCTTGTGGCTCAGCGATAAGTCTGACGGGCTCATACCGCTAAAAACCGGGTTTCGATGCACAACACAGATAGCCCACTGTGTAGCTTTGCGCTTAACAACAAACAAACCTCAAGTTATATACATCTTATAGCAAAACTGAAGAGCATAAAATTATATATAAAATATATATAAAACACCCTAAAAACCTTTAATCACAAAGGTAACATTTCACTATTTTTGAATCAAAAATATCGTGTTTTGTAAGCCATGCTCAGTATTTGGTGCCACACATATCGATGTAATAATAATTCAAATTAAAGGCTCAATAAACAAGATTCAGATAATTTCAATTTACTTGAAGTCATACACGGTGTTCCAACGTATTAATAAATTGTGTTTAAAACAAGAATTAATAAACTCCAAAATCTTCTTTGTTGACTTAATTCGAATTCATTAAGTTCGCCAATCCTCATTTAGCATTGTTTAATGTTTTCACCAAAAATTGTCTTCGTATACTCTTCTGTTTCTCACGAATGGAGATTATTCATTAAAAGTTTATTGCAAAAGGAAAACTACTATAATTCAGCTCTTAGAAAAAAAATAGCAATCAAGCAAAAAATATGGTATTCTGTTTTTTATGCTTAGCATTAAAGAATGTCACAAAAGTTGACCATTTTGACTTGGATGGTAAAAGAAACGAGTAAATCACAATTTTGACTATCATCAATCCTGCTTTTATTAGCCTGAAGTATGTAAGTTTAACTATGACGATGCCCTCAACGTTATTTAGAACCGATTATGGAATTCAAGTTAAAAATACAAGGTTAAAACCACAAAACGTAGAAGGCAATATAATCGCAGAAGCTTAAGAGTAATGAAATAGAAAGTATGCAAGCTACAATTTACCCCTGAATTCATAGTTAGGTAAAAGGACAAACATATGTTCAGATCTAAACTCGTACTTTAGAGAAGCCACTACTGCCATCTTAATTAGGGAATCCAGACTTTAGGTAAGTTATGAATTAAGGTTTAAAGGATCAATGTTCTATATTATATCGTAAACGGATCCTGTTACAAGCAATGCATTGATTTTTAGGTACATATATGCCATGTTACATCTACCTACGACAAGCTGCACACCCTATTCGGTGGCAGGAAATAAAGTCACAATTTTGGCTAGGAAAATAAGTCACAAACTTTTTAATACCCAAATACAATGTAAAGTGATACACCAAAAAAAAATTTTAAGTTAGTTATTTATTGCAATAATAGCATGATGTATGATATGTAACATTATATGAAAAATACATGACATACACACATTAATAACAAAACTTACATAACTGCTGTACAAGACTACTCGCCTGTCTTACCTCTACCTGAAGAACACAGCTTAAATCTTACCTGAGGAACGTGGTGCCTAATATGATCTCACATGAGATCAGTCCGGATTACGATCCTGGATGGCTCCTCTTACATTTCGTACATTACATATTGAAATTACTAGCACATCATCCAATCTAAGCATTTCTTCATTAAGATTCATAGCGTCATGCTTTATGATCAAAGAGCACTCTATAAACAGTCTGTTAACTTGACAAGTGTATTTATATATATAATGCAGAGTCAAGTGCACTTTTCAGGCATATATGAGGTCAATTATCACATGAATGAGTTGAATAATTCAATAATTTAACTTCTATGAAATTAAAATATTATAAAAATTAATTTTCAAACGATTTAACGGATTTTAACCCAGTAGGTGTACCCCCATGCCCTAACTCAGTACAAGTGTTCAGTATAATTTACATAATGAATAATTTATTATCCTTTCCTTCTCACATACTTACTTCAAAGAATAAGACAGATTTGAGCTTATACAGTAAACCATGAAGTATTTTAATTTTAAAAATCTGATTAACTTCCATTCAGAAATTCCTGGATGCACGGTAAATAAACAGGTACGTTTAACCTTTAAACATAGTGAAGATACTCTATAAATTTACCCGCCTTACGATCGATTTCAAACTATACAGTTTAAAGTACAAGAGAATAACAGAAACCAAAAAAGTGTTTTCCTTGCTGTCTAAACAGATTACGAAAAGGTCAACGCAACATTACGTTAGTTTGTTTGTTTGTAATTAAGCACAAAGCTACACAAAGCTCTGCCCACCACGGGTATCGAAACCCGGATTCTAGCGTTGTAAGTCCGCAGACATACCGCTGTGCCACTGGGGGGCTAAATATGGGAATTGTTTGTTTGTAATTAAGCACAAAGCTACACAATGGGCTATCTGTGCTCTGCCCACCACGTGTATCGAAACCCGTATTCTAGCGTTGTAAGTCCGTAGACACGCCGCTGTGCCACTGGGGGGCATTACGTTAGAACACCAACTTTCGAAAAAAGTTAGTGGATTTATCAGACACTGAATAGGCTCTCATCTGAGGCATTTTTACGGATATAATTCTCTCATGGCATCTCAGATTTTTTTTTTTTTTACCTTTGATATAATGCACAAAACCAAAAATAAAAATATCTTTAACTTAAAGTAAACGAATTACGACAATCACTGTTGAGTAAAAACAACCATCAGAAATTCAGAGAAAAAACTAATTATGAAAAGGAATCAACAAAAAAAGGCTAGTAAAACTCTAGGTTATAGATAGTGACTTAGATAATTTTAAATGTTTCTCTGAAACTAAGTAAGATTAAAGAACTGTTATTTCAGTTATTTGACTCTCTAACTATTGAACAACTGGCGACTTCTCAACCTTAACTAAACTTGAAGTGATTTTATAATTCACGGTACACGGTAATGATACTGAACCAATCATTAGAACAAATATTAAACTCCAAACAATGTGTAGTAATGCTGAATTGATTTTGACGTTAGACCTTACCCTCCAAGCTCTATGTAATAACCTTCATACAAATATTGTGGTAAAAAATTATTCTGAAATTAGATCTTGCCTTTCACATATTATGTAGTAACAGAAGACTGATTTCACGGCTGAATCCAAACACTAGAAAACAGTGAACTGGTTTTTTGGTGGGATCTTAATCTTCGTGCAAACATTATTCTGACGAAGTTTCAAATCTTGTGTTACATTTAACTGTTCACGAGTGACACGACTAAAGATTATCTTGTATATTTCATTGTCGGTAAACTTATAAAAAGTAACAAAGATGCCGACAAAATGATTTGCAAACTTAAAATCAAACAAAAGAGTTATCAATTAAAAACAGATTTTTACACATCCGAGTATTGTCTGCACATAACAACCTATAGCTACATAAACCATCCTAAAAGTATTTCTATTGCATTTAGAGTCAACAGACACATTTAAAGGAATGGCATCACCAATCCCTAGTGATCCGTCTTCGAACTTTATGTCACGATATTTAACTTTGATTCACTTCTCAGGCGTGTCAGAATCTATATAATTAAAAGAGCAGCAGACGTGTGTGCATGCGTGGAAATACTTCTTAAACGCTTTTTTTACACAATGCAGAAATGAAATTAGAAGTAGGGAAATACGGAAGACGTCACCAATACCTGTAACGAAGGGGTGGGTGTAGACTGTAGTAAGCATTGCAAAGAGAAAATTATTTAAGGAATGGACCTGTCACCCCTCAGAGCCCCTACTCAGACAGTAGTGTTTATGTGTTAAGGTTTAGTGTGTGAATGTCTTCATTTGTTTATAGACAATTGGGGTACCAGTACCGTCACTCTCTTGAGTTCTAATTCTTGCCCCCAATACCCTGGTTTTGAGAGTGTCGCTAGATCTGGTGTTCCTTATTAGATAGTCGATCGGTTTATCATTTTTTGTCACGCCATTCGATTCAAAGTGTCTTTTGTATTACAGGCGATTGGTGGGTATCACGTGTTGGGGAATAAGCTTAACCCACTTACGTTTAGCCTCACAGTCACTGAGATGCCCCGCACGGCTGTCAGATTCGTTCAGGAATCTACTTACCTAGCCTCTTACGTGTGTAGTCTAGGCAGGTCACTTAGCTGTTTTAATTACTTTAAATACACAGCACTGCCTTTACATTTTATAATCTTTGTGCATTCAATTTAATCGTCAGTATTATACATGTACAAAAACGAAAATAACTTCAACATCTCAATATAAAAGACGCCGTGATGAATAAATATGTCACATCCGATCCTTCTTATAATAATAATAATCAGAAACAACTACAGCTGGCGAATCTCCAGACTTTAAAGCAGATTTCGATCTTTCTAATTTTAAAATGTCAGACAATTAAAAATTGTAGTTACATTTAATACGACTACAAACAGAACTTAAACAGCTTCAAAATTACAACTTCGCATAATTTGTACACTTTTTAATTTCAAATAATTATAAATCTCAGCAAGTTTAATAATATTCTAATAATTGTCATAATGTGTAACGTATATTACCCCCCCCCCCACTTTCAAACCCTAATGAACTAATTTATTATGAACTTACTTTTATCCTACGTTAGTTTTTATTTCTGTGCTGTGCGCAGAAAATTCTTAAAAAGGACGGAGTAGCTATGGCGGAGCCAGGATATCAATACAGGTCCAGCTCGGCAAAGCCAGGTGGATAGGGCGTTCGACTCGCAACCTGCGAGTCGCGAGTTCAATTCCCCGTCACACCAAACATGCTCACCTTTTCAGGCGTGGGTGCGTTATAATGTGACAGTCAATCCCACTATTCGTTAATAAAAGAGTAGCCCAAAAGTTGGCGGTGGGTGGTGATGACTAGCTGCCTTCCCTCTAGTCTTAAACTGCTAAATTAGAGACGGCTAGCGCAGATAACCCTCGTGTAGCTTTGCGTGAAATTCATAACAAACCAAACCAATCAATACAGGTCGTCTGATTGGAAGCGATTGGTATTTGCTATACATTGGTTTGGGCTGATGCTCTACAGTCACTAATGTGTACGAAGCAATATCCGTAATATTTATGGAGTGAATCTTACGATTTACGCTCGTGAAAAGCTGACAACATACAAGTTTTGCAATAACAGGCCTAGTATAACAGGCTAACTAACTTAGGAATCAACAAACTACCAACACATATTTAATGAGTAGCTAAATTATAGATCACATACAATTAAGAGAATTTGAATTTATTGTCTTCTTAGGGTTAAAACATAGCACATTAAGCAATGAACATGGAAATACTCTGCAACCGCCCTCAATTATATCACCATTCTTAGCTTGAGAACATCTAAAGAAATGTCCTTCGGTGGGGCAGCGGTAAGTATAAGAACTTATAACGCTAAAATCCAGGGTTCCATTCCTTGCAGTGAACACAGCAGATAGCCCAATTTGGCTTTGTTCTAAAACAATTAAACAAACAAATCTACAGAAAGATCATAGCTTGATGTTATCAAATATTACAAGTCACGGAATACTTATATCCACCTTAAATAGCGAGTGTTTCCAACTTCGATCGAACAACCGAACACTAAAATTTCGCTGCATCTAACATACCCTGTATAACCTTCAAGAAATATGTCCCCATTACCTCTTTAAACCGTTTCCCAACTGATCTAGTTGGTAAGATGAACGCAAAATCTGCGTCTTAAGCTGGTCCCAAACGTGTTTTGTCAGAGGACAGTATGCTATCATAATAGTTTCCTGGTTTTGAAACGAAACCCAAAACTCGAGCGCTCTTGAATAGTTCACTATTTTTCTTCAAGCGAATAGGTGAACTATTCGAAAGCGCTCGAGTTTTGGGTCTCGTTTGAAAACTATTACAACTTTTGTATGTGATCCTGGGTGCCAACTTCTTAATCAGAAATAATATTTTCCTGTTAGTGTAGAGTGACGATGTGATCAGAACATTACAGTTCATAAAAGTTAAATCATGTCCAATGGCATCAGCAAAAGGCCTGATAATGGTTGTCATTGTCTCCTCTGTATACTGCACAACAGACTATAATGTATCCATCATAGCATTTGCCTCCCCACACACCATCAATGAACCATCCCTACCATGATCAGCTACAGTAAAGTTACAGCAGCAGTATCCAAGATGACTTTGCGCGAAATTCAAAACAAACAAACAAAGCATAAACCTCTGCAATACAAAAATGGCCAACCAGTGGCACGCGTCCCGCGAGTGACATGTGACAGAAGATTCTTTGGCACACCTATCATTTAGAAAATATCCAATATTACTCCACATAGCACACATTTTATTTGGGATTTCCGCACACGCATGAAATATTAAAATACATGTCATATTATTCATTGTTTTACTTAAATTTACCGTTTGATCCTCCTCCTATCTCCCCGTTCCTACAGGCTTTGGTTTGTAGTACTTTATTTTCAGGTCAGTGGCACTTTACCTAATATTCACAGCCTAAAACTGACACGACTGTTAAAAAGGTTGACCACAACAAGTATATAGTAGCTTATTAGTTGGACTTTTCAGTTTTTGTCCAACATTCTGAAGGACATAAGTGTGATAGGAATTAGATTACATCGATATTCATAGCATACGTTCGAAATTGAATTCCTTTTAGTATTAAGAAAAGTTATACGGCTGTTAAAGACAGGTGAAAATATATTCTAGGACCTAAATGTTTAATGGCTGCTATCAATTAAGTACTAGCTCGATATCACTCGAGTTATTTGTGGTGTTCTGTTCACCCTCATACAATCGTCCTATGTAGGAGGAAAGATGGTAGACAGTCAGTTATTCTGAGTTGATTGGTTGATATATGAACCTGTAGCTTTGTTGATAGATTTTGTAGTTCAATCTTATCCCAAATTCCCATCAATAAATACAAATAGTACTTGTTAGCCACTTTCTTCGGTGTCTTGAGCTGCATTTTTATTCTTCATTTTGTGTTCAGGTTTGGTTATTTCTACTTTAGTTCATTTTATCATCAATTTTCAGTAAGTAGTGTATCGTATTTTAATCTGATTGTTTGGTCCTCCAGTGGAACAGTGATAAGTCTATGGACTTACAATGCTAAAATCAGGGGTTCCATTCCACACAGTGGATACAGCAGTTAGCCCAGTGTGGCTTTTCTCTAAAAAAAAAATTGATTGTTTGTGTATAATAAATGTTTTAGTGTCTGCTGTGCATTTATTATTACATCTTGCTTGCTGAATCCCTTCATTTCCTCTAAACATCAGTGGTGTAAAAAAAAAATTAGCAGTATTAGTTAGATAGAGTAATCTTGGTGACATGCAGACTTTAGTATATGTAAAATGTGCAACTTGAAGTTATCATTTCTTGTTCTTGTTCTCTTCTCATTTCAGAAAACTATAGAGCTGTCTCTGTCCCACAGAAAAAGGACTTATAACAAGGAAGATGAAGCATGCATTGTTGTTGGGGCCACACACCAGTGAACCAGTGAGAAATGTCCAGAAGATCATTTTTTTTTTTATATAAGGTGCAGCCCTGCAATCCACCAAATACTCAGGTCACTTAGTCTTTAAACTCTGACCAAAGCACTGATCCATAGCCTATTTTGTTTGTTATGTAAGCCTGTCCAGATACACCTTGCATGATTGAAATGCACATGGAAGAGACACAGTCATTAGCTGAGCTCTCCTAACCAGTACTACATCACCACCAACTGGAACAGAAGATGTAAAAGCTGAAGAAGAATGCTGGTGATCGTTCTTCAGATAAAGTATCCTCCCACTTGAAGCAGCTAAGTTGCAATCAACACCAGGTACCACGATCCTGCAAGTTTGAGTTCCACCCTAAGACAAGACTAACCAGAGCTTATCACGCCAATTCACTACAAGTATGGGAAGTCATTTTCCTAGTTAGCACTTATAAGTTAAGTAAAGTATTTGTTACAACTGTGGCTGTTCAGTTGCCCGATAAGAATCATCAGGTTCCATCCCACTCTAGTGCCATACAGCAGGAAGGACATCAATGACAAGGCACAGGATATGTGGCATCAACTAAATTAAACTAGCTGGCCTCAGTGTGGAAAGGTGCAGTTATCACTGCATTATAACATAATGTTGTTTGTTCAGTACAAGCTAGTTTGAGTGTGGTTTGGTATGTACCTTTGGTCATACATATATGTTATTGTGGACAATAAAGCTGAGAGAATTTTGATTGGCCTTGCAATGTTTCAGTCACTTCTAGTAAAGCCATCACACAGGCCACTAAGTAATGACTTCATTTTGGTCAATGAAGATAAGCTTAAAGGGAACAGCAAAACTCAATTCATTTTTATTATTGATGTTATCTTTCAGAAAATAAATTTAGTCATAGCAATTCTTGGCTCGAACATAGGCATCTTAGGGAATAAGCTTATTTCATAAGATATCTGCAAGCTTAGTCTAGATAACAGAAAAGCTACAACGTAGTGACAAAGAAATCATGTAAAGCTCACAAACAGAGAATTGCAATTAAAGGATATCACTATGCCTTGTAATATACATGCAGTGTTGTAAGGTAAACTGAAAATGCAACCTCATGTGATACCAACTGCTTATGCAGGAATCTATGCTATGCATAAATAAACTGTTTTCTATCAAACCCAAGATAACTTGGTCACACTGTAATATTTCCAAGATAAGAATATGTTCTGGTAATGGTGGGAAACTTTGGACAGATAGTTATGAAGTTACCAGCTAGAATAGTTTGTGGAGGAGACTCAACGAAAACTGGTGTTATAGCTAGTATTACTTCAAATGCATCAAATCTGCAAACACATACATATCTACAGTACATCTGAGGCACAAATTGCCAAGCAGAAGCTTGTAAAAGTTGTTAGTTCAGACAGGACTAGTTGGGATGATCATCTATAACATATAGGGCAACAGAGTACATCTACAAGTTATTCTCTAAAGTTATATATATTTGTAAGAGAAGTTACATTTCCTTCAGATCTTAATAATTTTCTTCACTAACTGTGGATATCCCTGAATATGTTGAGGTTCATGAACCATCATTGTTGATGGATATAAAAATGTACTCAGTGGAATGAAAACACACTCATACTTCAGAAAATAGTTTATGATAACATAGTGAAGGAGAAATAGTTAAGTTGTGGAAACTATCTATGTCTATGGTATTCAACAACTGTATCAGCCTTTTAGAATTGGATGAAATAGGCCATATCTCACCTGCTGACAAATAAGTCTGTTGAAACAAAAACTTCAATGGCCATGTGCTATGTAAAGGTCTGTTCAACACATCCATAAGCTGAAATTGTAAACTAGGCCAAACTGCTGAGGGAGATAGAGCTAGAAAATTGGACAGTAATGAGATCAAAGTTTAAGTTCCAAATATTTTTTCTGGCTGTTTACAAAAAGGTAAAGAAAGAGCCAATCCCTGATCAGCTAGATTGTTCAAAAAAATGGTTTTGACAATATCACAGACTTCCAGCATGTTATGGCTGAGAATAAGTACATGCCACTAGCTCAGATCAAATTCCGTGGTGTAGCATGATTGAAAAAACATGAAATCCACCTGAGAAATTCATGTTTACTAGGTGATACAGAGCATTTACTTTCCGAACTATTAAACAGAATTTCATGGTAAAAGTATTATGTGTATAATACAGAATAAGAGCCAGTTGATTAAAATAGCCTCAAAATGGTGGTATATAGTTGCCAAATACAGGAAGAAAGTGGCGGCAAAGAGAAAACAAAAGGAGGTATAAGAGTGAATTCATATGAGATGGGATGAATATCTTTGACATATAAAAAAGAATCTTTGGCAGTGAGAAAAGTTCATGAACACTTACAATGTTAACAAAAATTCAAGTTTTTCAGAATCACTTAGTTTACTATTGCACTGGAAGTGTTATGACTTTATGTTCTAGATGGTTTCATGGTAGTGTACCCAATGCTATTATGTCAAGTAATCAGCTGTGTCAGCAAGTTTTCTTACTGCACACATATTTTGTATTTTGCAAATGCCTGAGCTAATTCTGATTTCCTCATTTCCCTACCTCATAATTGACATATACAGCTGTGCATATAAAAGTTTAATTTTTAAGTACTTGTTCATGTGAGAACATGTACAGCTGTTATAGAATTACAAAAACCTTTAGGTTTTATAGTGGATACCAATCAAGCACTATCTTAAATTAACTTGGACATTTGTGTGGAGCAGTGTTTACCTTTTCAAGTTCATCCCTCACAAGTGTATTAGTGTAAGTGCTAGTTAATCTAAACTGATTCGTAGTTGTACTTGTAGTTATACTGGTTAAATCTGTGTGCATTTTGGGTCAGTCTTGTCAGGAATTTTGGTCAGTAAAAATGTGTCACTTTTGATTTCTGAGAGTTAGCATCAGTTGACCACTGTAATGTGTCTTAAGTTGCTATTACTTCTCACTTTGTTCGGCTTTCATTATTTTTACATCAGTATCATTATGCATTTTAATCTTATCTGATTTATTCCTATGCATAATAAGCTTAAGATTTTTTATGTCTATATTATACACTTGTTGTCACTTATCATCATTTTACCACACGTAACTTTTGTATCCATATTAAATTACCAAATCCTACTAGCATTTACCTATATGTAGAGCTTAAACTCTTTCCCGGAGGGTTATTAATTTCATATCTTATACTGTAATACCATTACTATTTGGTGGAAACTAGGGAAGTATATTTCCTTCTTTCTATGTTTATTTGTGTATCTTGGATATTGTATCTATTTTATTATAAATTTCATACAACAGAGTTCTCAATCCTGCTCTAGCCTTTGTAACAAGTGCTACGGTGTAAAATTATCATTTAAACTATTAGTATAACTAAGAAATGAAAACATGAGAGAATTAGTTGAAATACCATAGAATTCTGATATATATTAATTCTATACTGTAGAATACAGTTAGTTCTTTTTGTTGTTTCTCAACCAGACTGTAAACTGTTCAATTTCAGCCATTGTAGTTCAAAAGTTAAGTGCTTACCTGCTAACCAGACCTCATCAAGTCTCTGGTACCTCCAACTAGACCCAAGCAAGTTTCTAGCACTACCCAGCTAGCCTTTGGTGACTACAGTTGTAATTCACCTGTCTGTAATTCTTTACTTAGGAATACCACACTTTTAAGATGAAAGGTGTCAAAAATTTCAAATCACAGAAAATATGTAGCCAATCCTTAGTGTCATTTCTCTTGAGAGTTTTTCTTAGCCTATACGAGTAAAATTATTTGGCAAGTAGTTTGCAATCTCCATTAAAAAAACCACTTACTATAGAAATACAACATTGAATAAACGTACATAGACATTTATAAGTACCCATTATTGTTTCATTATAATTATGACTGACATGGAATTACATCTCAATGAACAGAAAAACCTTTATTTGTTCTAAAAATGATTTATACAGAGTCACTAGCAAGTTGAAATCTGCAAAATTACAAAAAAGGGGGATTTCTATCGCAAGTGCATTTCATTTTTGCACAAAATATAAGTATACTCATTACAAACTGCTTGCCTGCTGTATCTAGTACGTTTTGGGGTCATTGTGTGGGTGTGTGTTTGTGACTATGCCTGAATATTTCCTTTGATGCTGACAAAAATAAAATAAAAATGAATTGCAGGAAAGACTGAGAAGAGTAGAATACTGAGTAAAGCCAAAGTTCACATTCCTCTTATTCTTCAAAAGTTTTTACTTGAAAACTGCTTTAAATGTCACGACTAAAACGTTAAACAAGAATAATTAAAATTCACGGATAAGAAAAATTAAGCTTTGCCTCAAAATGTTTTGATTTTAAATAATTAAAATGTAATAAAACATGAATAACCATAATTTGTGTAAGGAAAAGGGAAACTTTGCCTTAAAAAGTTCTTAATGATTTTTTTTCCCTTTTCCCATTATGTCTTATAGCCCTGGCATCAAAACGGTATTTCACAAACGTAATTGAAGAAGCTTTAATGTAACATTTGGATAGGAATACTGAACATGAGGAAAACTTTTATCAACGATCTACATGGTGAATGAAATTCATTCAAGTTCTTATACGTCAATTATACACGATACAGAAAAACTTATTTTCTTATAACTGGGAAACTATACAAGCTACAACTTACTCTCAAGACTACATTTTCCTATATAGGTGTTCCATATCCAAGGATATACTTCTTCTGACTTATTTCTTACCCTCACAAACTTTCTAAGCGCATACTTGTACATTCTAAGTTTTATGCTAACACATTTTCTTAAGCCTCGTGTTTCTCTAGTTCGGTGTTACATCTTCCAACTTGGATATTAAGTTTAATAAAATACTTTCACTAGTACATAGACAAGGATAATAAACTGGATTTTTGTAGGGCGGAGTTGTTTCTCGAGTTACTCGCTATAGCCTTGTGCTTCCAACATTACTAGACGCATACTTAACACACAATACATAATTCCTATGCAGAAATAACAAACATAATTGGATTTACTTTGCCAAGTATACTTACATTTTACTCAAATAGTACTTTTCTTCTAATTTTTCGTAAAAAATACCTGTATAAAGTTTCTTAATAAATTATTTGTAAATAACTGATTGAAAAGAAATCCAACAAAAATACAGTGTAAATATACTTAATATTTACAAAAATAAATCTATATAAAAATGGTTTACTTGTAATTCTCGGAATTGTGCTCTTCATGCTGTTATTATAAGTTATCGTTACTAGATGACGCCACTTTTACGACTTTTGTAATTTGTGTTAAACCAGTTTTCAGCAGCAAATTACATACCGATTTCAAGGCTCGTTCTTTCCAAAATACAAGAAATAAAAAACAGAATACATGCCATTTCGTACAAATTTTGTATACTGTGCCCATTTTGTATATGATTCAAAACGCTCATACTACATCGCCCACTGGCATACATAGCTTCACGTTGTGGTATTGCAGTACTGACCTGCATGGGCGTCGTTATGCACGATGACATCAACGTGACATCATGGTGATGTCATAGAATTTCATAGGCACTTTAACTCCTCGACTTGCGACTATAATTTGTGTAATACAAACATGCACTGGCTTTATGTAGGGCGAAGTTGTATCTTAAGTTAAATCTCGGAACAGCCTTGCGCCTCCGACGTTATCAGGCTAGTCCTTATGAAGCCACCTATAGTGAAAGTTTTTAAACAAATAAA